GACTACATGGGAGTCCAGCGACATAGCCATTATGCTAACTGCTGGTCCCCAAAAATATTTTTAAATATTTTAATATATTAAACCTATTTTTAAAAGTAGGTTAAAAAGTAGGCCCTTCTCTAATGCATCTTTGTTTCTCCTCAGGGAAAGGTAATTACTGGACCTTGGATCCGAACTGTGAGAAAATGTTTGACAATGGGAACTTCCGTCGGAAGCGTAAGCGCCGCTCTGAGGCTAGCAGCAGCTCCACGGTGGTGGCCATAGGGACATCAAAATCCGAGGATGTGCTGTCCTCAGGACTGGGGTCCGGAGTGGGTGGGAAGCCAGAAGGAGACAGCCCCACCTCCTTGCTGAGGCCTTCCCAATCCCCAGAGCCCCCCGAGGGCACCAAGAGTTCTGCCTCATCTCCCGGAGGATCCGGGCTCACCTCTGCCCCGTGCCTCAACACTTTCTTCAGCAGCCTCAGTACCCTGAGTGTCAGCAGCTCTGGGAGCACCCAGAGGGCCCTCCCAGGCAGCCGCCACTTAGGGATCCCAGGAGCCCAGCTACCCTCCAGCAACACTTTCTCCCCAGCCACCTCCATGTCGGAGGCCTCAGCAGACACCTTGCAGCCAGGCACCAGCACCAGTACCAGCAGCGGCCAGAGAGCTTCCTATTACAGCCCTTTCCCCACCAGCACCAGCGGGGGCCAAAGCAGCCCCTTCAGCAGCCCGTTCTACAACTTCAGCATGGTCAACAGCCTCATCTACCCCCGGGAGGGCTCCGAGGTCTAGGGTGATGCTTTGCAGACTTCTTTGTGCACACCTGAGCTCTGGCTGGGGTGCAGATTCCAAGTCAGTAGGTCTTGGGTGAGATCTGAGGCTCTGCATTTATGTCGAGCTCCTAGATCATCTTGTGGTCCACTGTCTACACTTGGAGGAACAAGGGTGTAGTGGGTAACTCTTTCTACTACCCAGCAAGCTTTCACAGGTTTTCCTGGATATGGGCTTCTCCAGAGCGACATCCACTTCATTCTGTTCTGGGGTAGGTAGCCTGTGAGCCTGGAGAGGGCAGGGACTACGTGTATTTTGTTTGTCACTGTATGCCAGGGTTGCACGCTCACATGTGTCCAGATGTCTAAAAACCAAACATAAGCCAATGAAGTTATGGGGTGGGAAGCCAACCACAGCTGGCAATGGAAGCAGTAGGGAGTGGTTGGGCCTGGCCAGCTGGAGGTGGCCCTGAGCAGCTGTTAAGAGCCTGCGTGGCACCATTCTGATTCTCTAGAAAAGCCAGATCATTGGATTTTTATAGGAAACTTCCAACTTTGGGTCCTTCATCTCTAGTTAAATTTCTGTATCATTCTAGCCTAGGAAACCCCTTCAGCTAATATTCAACTCACAAGTCACCTCTGTCTAAGCACATGGTAAATGCTTCTAGCAGTAACACCGGCCGAGCAGATCAGGCCTGTGTGCCAGGCACTTTTCTAGACACTTGATATGCATCAACTCATTTAATCCTCACAGCAGGCTTTGGGAAATACATATGAGTGTCCCTTATTTTCCTCTTGAGGAAGTAAAACTCTAAAGTGCTGGGTAATTTGCCCAAGGTCATATAGATAGCAGATCCAGAGCCAAGGTCGCATCCAGGCAGTCTGACTTCAGAGCTGGTGCTTGTCACCTCTGTGTTCTAGTTCCCGAAAAACAGCAGCCAGCCTCCATAGGCAAACCTGCGTGGATAGGGGTAGGAGTGGAGATAGATCTCATTTGACCAAAGATTCTGGTTGAATTGAGGATCATTTGAGATGCTGCGCCAAGCAGCTAAGGCAGACACCACCAGTATCTTCTTGGTACTTGCTCCAGTCCAAGGTCTGGGGTGACCGTGGTCCTAGCTTAGGATGGTTCGCCTGGCATCCCATTTCTCTCAGCGTGTCCTGGAGATTTCATCTTCTAACAAAGTATTATTTTAAACTAGAATTTTATTGAATGTTTTTAAATGGAATTTTTACAGTTTTTTAGATAAACCATTTGTGGTCACCTTTTAAAAAAATATATATCATTTTATTTATTTTAGCACTCCCCTGTACTTCCCAGAGGTGTTGTCATGTGAATAATCTATGGTTGCCCTCCTGGTGCCCCCAGAGTGCCTGGAACGCTGCATGGTGAACAGCCAGCTTGTGAATGAGAATTTGTTCCAAAAGTGCTTATTGAAGTGCAGATAGGTGTTGAACAGCATTTCTTGAAGGTGAAGATAATGTTTTGTGAGGTGCCTTTGTACCATGTTCTTGAGTCTTCAATGTAAGCATTTCTAGTTTGGAGTTTTGATTTTTTTTTTTTTTTTTTTTAGAAATAGGAACATGAACACATTGTGAAAAAAATTAAAACATTTTCCTATGTATTTTTTTTTTCTAGACTCATAGCATTACTTAAACTTTTGAACATTTTTTTGAACTATACATACAAAAAATATTTTTTTAACAGTTTAGTGAGGTACAAAATATATCACCATTACTTTTTTAGTACTATGTGGAAAGATGACCAAAGAGACTACCTACTCCATACTGTGTGTACAAAACAGTGGTTTCTGTGAATATTTTTGTATGTGAAAAATCATGCAGACTTTTATAAATACTGTTTCTAACACAATTCTATATTTGTAAATTAATTTATAATGTGAACCAGGGCAGCAAAAAAAGTCCCCCCCCCCAAAAAAAAAGCACACTGCATACTGAGAAGAAATAATCATATGAAATAAACTTTAAGTGGGATGATGTCTAGACTCTTGGCCATCAGTATTTTTCTGTGTTCAGGTTCTTTGTCCCAAAGGATAGAGTGGCAGGGCATCAAAGCTATTGTAGGGATGTTGAGTTGAGAGCCAGCGATCGAGTTTTCCATTTGATTTGTTCTACCTTCCCTCATTTGAAAGGGCTGGAGTGAAACACTTTTTGTTTGGGAAGGGTCTGTGGGTATATGAGCATTTTGTTTACTGCCAACAGTAATAGTTCTGATATTAATAGACTAAACTGATTTTCAGAGCACCTGACAATGTGTCTAGTCCAGGAAGAAGCTGTAAGGCCTGAAGACTCAGATGGAGCTCTATAGCTTGGGGTGTGGCCCGCAGGGAAGCCACAGGCAGACATAGTTTCCAAGAAGGTAGCTGGAAACTTGAACTTGGCCCCATCTAGAAGGAATACAAAAGACGATCAAGACCAGTGTTTTTCAGCATCTGCATTGATAATTGGGAGGACAGTTCTTTGTCATAGAGGTTGTCCTGTGCATCACAGGATTTTTTTTTTTTTTTTGTCTATAGGGTATGTGCATTCTAGGAAACAGAAGGAAAGTGAGAAAGCAACCTTGGGGTTGCCACAGTCCTTTCTCCATTCTCCTCTTGGGATCTTAGGCACACACTCAATTGATTTTCTTTAATTTTTTAAATTTTTGTGATTTTTCGAGCTGTTGGGTCCAGGAGTCAAACTGCACAGTCGGCCATGTGGGATCCACCCACCTTAACTGCCATGCCCCACTACAGAATGTTTAGCAGCACCTCTGGTGTCTACCTATTATATGCCAGAAGAATCTACAGACATCAGCGCTGTCCCTGTGGAGTTGAGGGGATCAACCCCAGTGAGAACCATGAGTCTAGCCCAACACCCACATTTGCTAATGAAGACCTCCTTTCCACCACCACTACTCAGTCCTAGATCCTAAGGCTGGTTCTCGAGTCCTGAAGAAGTAGGTCTTTGATACAAGACAGTTTCCTGGGAAATGCCTTTTTTCCTAAAGAAAATAGCTGGAGCAACCCCTAACAATTGGTCATTTCTCAGAACAAGCCTGCTGGTTTTGCCCTGTCACATTGGAGGTAAAAATCTTTTCAATATCAGTTTGTGATTATAGGACTTTAGCGTAGCTTCCCTCTTCACATCTCATTGCTAATAGACACCTTGGGTGAGACCAGCAGTTAACATAATGGCTATGTCGTTGGACTCCCATGTAGTCAGCCGCGGTTCGAGTCCTGGACCCTGTGGTTTAAACTCATGCCGGGCGCGTGTGCGTGCGTGCCCAGGGTCCCAAGAGGAGAATGGAGAAGGGATTGTGTGGCCATCCCCCCTGGGGGGTGATTTCTTACTTTCTGGCAAGCACACGTCCCCTATAGCAAAATCCTCTCAAAAAAAAGACACCTTGGGCTGAGATTGATTTTGACTGAACAACAAATGATCTGAGTTTCTGTGTGTTGGGACAGGTAAGGGGATGGGCATGATGATTGGGGAAGAAACCAAAGAACATGAATAGGTTGGATTTGAGAGTATCTAGGGTCGGGCAGTTGATAGACATGCACCAGATTGATGCCATTGAGGACAAGGATGAGAAGAACCTACCTGTGATCTTGAGCAAGGGCGAAGGCCAGCAGGGTGGCACAGTCCCCACGCCAGGACTGAAAGGCCTTGTAGTTTCCACCAGAGAACTAATT